ACTCAGTGACTTTGACTGTAACGTGAGTGCTAGTGTCAGACATTGGTTTGAGTGTTTCTCAAGCTGCTGATCTCCTGGATTTTCACACTCAACAGTCTCTAGAGATTTTACTCAGAATGGAGCAACAACAAAATAATCCAGTGAGCAGCAGCTCTGTGTTGATGAGAGAGGTCAGAGGTCAGAGGTGAATGGACAGACTGGTTGGACCGGACAGAAAGGCTACGGTCACTCAGATAACCACTTCAGAGTGAACAACATGTCCAACCTACAACAGCAGAAGACCACGTCAGTTTCCACTTTCTGTCACCAAGACCAGAAACCTGAGGCTGCAGTGGACACAGACACACCAACACTGGACAGTTTGAGACCTGGTCTGATGGATCTGGATTTGTGCTGAGGCAGCAGATGGTAGGGTCGAAGTCTGAATCCATGGACAGACCTGTCTTGTGTTCACAGTCCAGACTGGTGGTGGAGGTGTGGTGGTGTGGGGAATGTTTTCTTCTTAATACCATCAATCATGGTCTGAATGTCTCAGTGTATCTGAGGATTGTTGCTGATCATGTTCATCCCTTCATGGCCTCAGTTCACCATCTTCTAATGGCTCCTTCCAGCAGGATCACGCTCCATGTCACAAACAAACAGAGGTTTCATCAACATGACAGTGAGTTCAGTGAACTTCAGTGAGCTTCCCAGTCTCCAGACCTGAATCCAGTAGAACACCTGTGGGATGTGGTAGAACAGGAGATTGGCAGCATGAATGTGCAGCAGACAAATCTGCAGAGATGATGTGCTGCATCATGTCAACATGAAACAGAGTCTCAGAGGAAAGTTTCAACATCTGGTGGATCCATGAAGAACTGAGGCTGTTTGAGAGCAAAGGGAGGAACTACCCAGTGTTAATGTGGTGTTAATGAAGTGCAAATGCATACACAGGCCCAAATCAACAGAGCTGTTTCCTGTCGCTGCATTGAGCCAAGAAAGAAAGAAGGCCAGGGAAAGGACAGAAGGTAGATTCTCACACCTTCTGCTGTCTGACCCTCCAGCAGCAGATCACATCACGAGGCAAACAGCATAACAACATGTTACAGTGTCTAGTCAGCTGGCAGCAATGAGTTGGAAATTCTTTAATTACTTGTTTAACTTCTCACTTGTCTACTTGTTTTACAAGTTTTGTGATTTAACTAGAATGAGATTTAAATATTTGAGATTAGTTCTTTAAAAGATTGCTTCAGGATTTTAGTAAGTAGAAGAAATGCCAAGCTAACACCCCCCTCCTCCCCCAAACTATCTATAAGTATATATTGCACTGTTCTGAGGAAAAAATAATAATAATAATAAGGATTACAAGGATTAAAATTTCAATTAATTCAAACTTAATCAAAATTTTATGTAAACATTAACTGATTCTTTTGGCCCTTTGGGGGCAGTATAACAAGCTATAAACCCAACACTCATGGAGTCGGCTTTCTGTCCAGTGTTCCCTCTCTTTTAGTTCTGTGTTTGGTCTCCACCAGCTCCTGAGGGAAACATCTGGCTCTTTAGCTGCTAAATACTCCACTATGTTCACCAGCTGCTGGTTGCTGCTGCACAGGTAGTGCACCATGGATTTTAACAGCTTTTTCTTTCTTTTTCTTTTTTTTCTTTTTTTTTGCTGAAAACAGAAAACAACTCTATTAGAGCAATGGAAAAAAAAACAAAAGGTGCAGGTCATAAAAACAAAACAACTCATGTGATAACCCATTTTCACAGTACACATTGTTATATCATCCACTGTTAATATAAAGTATTAACAGTATTGATTAGTACAGCTTTAATATTCAATAATTGTCTTTATTGTATAGTCAGATTCAGGCAGATAGAGCACCATGGAGTCAGAACTACATTGACCTGGACCTGGATGTCTTGATGTAAGCCTCGGCCACAGCGCTTCTTCTTCTCTGTCTCTATTTATAGTGAGCATGGCAGGATGCTGCACACAATAAACTTGGAAGCACCACACCCACAGCTACAGCCTGTTTCCAGTGCTGTGTGAACAATCCTCGCCTGACTCCACGGCCAGAGAACAATGGCCTTACCCCTGACCCCCACACACTGGCAATTACATCCACACACAGCTCCTTTCAGCATACACGCCTGGTAACAAATTAAAACAATTACGTTATGTAACAGTTCCTCACATGACCATAATGGTGTTTTAGCATGTTGGAGCTAATATATTACTATTAACATATACTTTATTGTCAGCTTTATATAGACTCTTAGCGATATCCTGAATGTTTGTGAGAGAGAGAAGAGTTGTTTTTTTTCTTCTAATTTCTCGGCAACCAAAGATAATAAAACTCAGTTTGACCTTAAACTTACACGAGAGAAAGAATCCATCATATCTATTATTTTGATAGATAATTATGACTTAATATGTGACTGTACTAAACAAAAGGCACAGACATAGATAGACAGACATACTGTTCACTTTGACAGATCAACTGTTGCTTAAAGGGGCTATTTATAAGTTTCGCTACATAGCTAACGTTAGCATTAGCAACTGTTTACTTACCAGTCTAGAAGAAACGTTGTGAGTTCAGCATCAAACTTCATTCCTTATTCAACAACAGCTGTCTCCAGAGGTGTTGCTTGTTTTCTTCTGGCCCAGTATACGCCTGGCTCCACGGCCCAAATCAGGCCCATATACAACATGATTTTAAGATGCTACCTCCCCATCTGGACCAGTTCTCACATGCACACACTGAAAATCTTCCAGCTGTCAGTCAATACTGATGGATAACAGCCAAACTCTGCCCAGATGTGGCAATACATGGGCCAGACTCGGGCCGAGGACCCAGGCGTATGTTGGGCCAGAAGTTTCAGTGTGCTATCTGGGATACTGATAGGTCCAAACACTGAAAAACAGCAGCAACACACTAATTCATGGACCACATGTATTTCAAAAACAATTCCAAATGTAAAAACTGTAGGTCATCAAGGTAACTAGTGTGATGTGTTCAGGTCATGTGGGCTGGACGGAAGGACTGAGAGGCTTATACATTTAAACTAGACTATGAAAGCCTACAGACATGACAGAAAATTCTGTGATCAGCAAGAGAAAGAGAAATCTCAACAGCCACAACAGTGTTGATTGGATATCACAGACATCAGTTGTCCGTGGGCTAGCTGCAGTTCAATCAAATCTTCTGCATGTAATTTTGAATAGAAAAGATATAATTTTACACATTTTGAATAACAGACAGAAATGTCCTTTGAACTTTTATCAGTTTCCCTTCCAGTTCTCTTTTTCTCTATTTTCACAGCAATTTCCACAGCATGTGAATGCAGTACTAGGATGGTGCTAGGAGTTATCAGATAGGGGTCTGTTCTGGTCAAGTGGAGGCTGATAGAGTTGAGCCTGTCCTGTCTCTGTTTGGCACAGACACATCTCTTATCAGTCCTGGGCCTGCTGCCCTGAACACTGTGACTAAGTGAGGAAGACTGACTGTTCTCCCTTTGATTGAGCTGAGTGTTCACATCAACAGGATATGTGCTGCTTGTGAAATCTGTCACTCCAGAATCACATGCAGACAGCAGATATGAACACATATGTCCCCATGTTTTGTACCTACATCCTCTACTTCTTTAGAGCTCCTGAGTTTGCCAGAATGACTTCTGGAAACCCCTGCAGAGATCCAGATGTTGCATTGAGATACTTTAAGTCAAGTAAAACAAGTAAAAGTATTTCATATAACGCATATCAACGCTGCATTGAATTCTGGGTTATCCTCCACAGAAATCTGAGATCTCCCCTTATCTATGGTGCTGTAAAGATATGAGGCAAATTTAGCTGAATTAAAAGGTTGGAGTTCAGTGTATTTTTGAAAGATACAAGATACAGTGAATGGTCAGAGTGATCTAACACACACACACACACACACACACACACACAACCCTGCTGACCTGAGCTGTCACTGACACATTTGTTTCTTAGCGGGCGACACCAGCCACTGATCCTGCTGCTATCAGTACCAAGGCTGACTTTACCTCACCCATATATTCTTCATTATTCAAAGTGTCATTCATAGTGACAAACACACAGAAATATCAACACCTCCACTCAGCAACTTCAGTTTTAGCTTCTTTCAGCTTTTGCTTTGGTTTTACAGCCAACAACTTTTCTAGTTTACTCATCAGTTTTGTTTCCTGAAGCAGCTGTTTTCAGCAAAAGAAAAGCTCTGATAGACTCACTGTCCTCGACCTGCTCAGCAGTAAACAGCAGACAGACTCAGTCAGAGAGCAGCTGGTCAACACAGTGGAGCATTTAGCAGCTAAAGAGGAGCTGGTGGAGACCAAACACAGAGCTAAAAGAGAGGGAAGACTGGACTGAGATTCATACGATGGACGGAAATGTGACTCCACGTGAATCATCATGTTGTTATGTACCTGCTGGATGTGGAAATATGTAGCTGTTCCCTGTATGATAATTGTTGATTTTGTGTGTTCAACTTCTCGCACTGCCCCCAAGTGACCAGTAAAAAACTGGTTAATGTAGATTTAATTAAATAAGATGGTCTTTGCCACAGCATGGTTTGTTTTCATGCAACATTTATCCCTGTGCTCTATGTAATCTTTCATGTTTTTTCTCTTTAGGCTTCCTACTCCACAGCGTCCGTCCAGATACCAGTGCACTAGTGGAGATCAGCACAGCTACAACAGTTACACCAGATACAACAGATACATCCCCTACAACAGCCACAACACTTGTTCAAGTTACAACAGCTACAAAATCTGCAGCCGTTACAGCAGACAGAACAACTGTACCAGTTACAAAAGCTACAACAGTTACAGCATCTGCACCAACTACACCAGCTACAACATCTGCAATAGTTACAACAGCTATAACACCTACAACTAAAATAGCTACAACTACAATAGCTACAACTACAATAGCTACAACTACAATAGCTACAACATCTGCAATAGCTACAACAGCTACAACAGCTACAACACCTACAGCAGCTACAGCAGCTACAGCAGCTACAGCAGCTACTATGGCTACAACAGCTACAACAGCTACAACAGCAGGCATCAGCGACAACTCAGTGATATCCTCCAATTCTGCCAACGCACAGACACCTGAACCCTCCGTGCCCAGTAAAACCCCCGGGACTGAACCACCAACACTGACAGATGTAAATCCTCACCACACCAAGACAACCAAAATCACAAAGGGCTCAACTGATGTCACAGCAGGACAACAGCCCACGACTCACACCAGCGTCACCACCAAGATGAATGAAGGAGGTAAGTTCAACCAGTCCTCCAACCTGAACAACCACACAGGTCGTTTTCTTCAACCCTCTGATACGACTCAGAGGAGTGTCTCCTGAAATAGCTCCTCTACATAGCTCCCCTGCCCTTACAATAATAAACATGCTGATCAAGAGTGGCGTACCTACCTTCGTTGCTATGGTTACTATAATAACGGTCATGGCTTGGTTAGGTTAGGAAAAGATGGCTCTGAGCCTCTCTTCTGATTGGCTGACTGTTTTCTGAGGGATCCAATAAAAATATAGCAGATTTCAGGTAAGCACTCATAGAAACCAAATCCTACAAGGTTGGATGGTGGGTCCAGGTAGGCGGGGTTTTGGGCATGGCTGAGAGCGGTTACTGCTTTGTTGTGACATCACAAAGTTCCAGAAGTCCTGATGGCTGGTTTTAAGGCTCAGTTTCTGAATACAGGCTGTGTGTATTTCCCTGCGGACTGAGCACTTTGATACTTTCACAGTATTAATATAGAACCTAGACCTGCTTTATAATCAAACTAGAATCCCCTCCTTGTGGTTGTCTGCATCCTCTTCTCAGACTAGATTCAAATTACATCCCTGTTTATCCAGAGTCATATAAAATATGAACCATTTGTGTGAAATTTTGTCATTACTGCTGTGTGAAGTCTTGAGTAATGGCTAAAGAGTACACTGACCTTGACCTTTGATCTTTAGTCACCAAAATCTAATCAGTTCATCCTTGGACCAGGTGAATGTTTGTGCTAAATTTGAAGAAGTTCCGTCAAGGCATTACTGAGATATTGTGTCCACGAGAATGAGACATATGGACGGAAACAAAAACCTCCGGTTCTGACTGTCGCCGGCGCGGAGGAATGAAAACACATGGATATCTAGCTTTATACTATATGGACCTTTAACTGCTTCATACAGAGTGGAATGAAAACAGCTATTGTCTTGTTAAACCAGGGCTACAAAAGGATTTCCAGGGAGATCAAAACATTTCATTATTGCTTTCAAGCTAAATTACACTGAATTGACCCAAGCGGTCAGTAGTGGGCTCAGAAGGTACTACTTCATTATCTGCAGATATAATGTTTAACGCTGCTGTGTTATTTCTGGTTGAAGATATAGAGAAAACCACTGTGACAGTTACAAGAAGTGGGCAGACGGCATCAGGGGCCCTAGAGCAAAGCAGGAGCACAGGGACCACCAGCAACCCCACCATCCTGACCAAAACAAGTTCTCCTGTACCTGAGAACCAGACTGGAACCACATCCCTGAAACCTACCAGCCCCACCACCATCACAGGCACTCAGCGAAAGAGGTTGCAGGTGAGACACACAATGAGCAAGTGTGTTTGCTTTTACTTTTAGTTTTGTAGAAATGACTCATGCATTTTACATGACTCTGGGGTTGTTGATGCTTTTGACTGACACTTATTTTCTGACTTTTTCCTACAGTATTCTCTAAACAGCCAACACGAGGTAAGAGTTTGCTTTATTTTGAGTTAGTATCTTTAAATAGTATTTAGACATATTCAGATACATTCACATATACAATATTGTGGTGGCCCTGAGAGCTCAAAGCACTGCAAGTTCAGAAAAGCCAGGTTCATCACTTTTTAGTGTCCCTTGGAAACACTTCTGTTGTGTTGAGAGTATTTGCAGCACATGTGTTTTCAAATTGATGACGATGTTTTCTGAATTTGTTTGTGTTTTGTATATTTGCATGTGTTTTCTTAAGTTGCAGTGTGTTGAGCTCTCAGGGTCACCATACAACACATGTAATAGTTAAAACAATTTCTTCTCAGACTCTCATGAAGCTTCTACTATTGTCCTGTCCATGGGCAGGACAATAGGAGGCAGGCCCACACCTTTCCGCTCCTTTCTTCACTGACAATTATTCCCAAAGGTTTCTTCTGTGTAAATATGTCCTATAAAACCAACATTCAGGAGGAAGAAGAAGAACAATAAGATGTGTTGGTTTCATAATATTGCACCATTATATTCTTGTAGGGTGCAACAAATTTTACATCAGTTATCAGTGCTTGTACTTACTTGTGTTGAACTTTGACTTAAAGCCCCCCTATGATGAAAATCAAGTGTTTCACCTTGTTAACATCCATATGATGTTTTTATATCATACCAGACATATGATGAGTGAAATAATCATCAACACCATGACTGAGTGTTTTCACCTTGCCAGAGATTCATACGTCACAAACCTAAGGAACCAATCCTGTCAACTTGTGGGGAGAGGGGCCGGGCTAAATAAACCTGTTACCTTGTCAGTACAGAGAGACAGAGTTAGCATTAGCACAACCACTAACACTGTGTCAGCCATTGCCAGTTACAAGCTAACAAACAACATGAACAAATAAAAGATGCTAACTACGCTAACGGTTCTGATCCGTCTGCTAGTCTCTGGTTCTCGTCTCAACAGACTCCTCCTCTGAGTCTGGGTCTGACTGAGGCTCAAACATGTGGCTGAGTCTCTCTGATGTTTCCTCCTCTAACCATCTTGATGCTCTCTGCTCTTTCACCTGTCCACCTGGAGCAAGCAGGAAGTAAGAGGAGATGAGCTTCAGACCCAGTTTTTATGTGTGAAAAACACCTGTTTAAATAAAATATTAATATTAACTTTAAGTGAGAAAAAGTTCAAATGTAAACTAATACCGAGTTTCATATTAAAGGCAGAAACGTGTAAGTATCTAAGTAGGCACATTTAACAGTGTCTTGAAGGTTGGCAGACACACACACACACACACACGCACAGACACACAGACACACACGTACACACACACATGCACCCACACACCGTCCTGCTGCCACAAATACTCACTAGAACAGTGGTTCTCAAAGGGGTGTCCAGGGACCCCCAGGAGTCCTTGAGGGAGTTGCGGGGGTCCCCAGCAAAAAGTGGGCTCATTTATTTCAACTATAATTCAATCCATAAGTAACACAATGACAGAATGTATGACTATGACTAAGACCTGTGTTTAATCTCATCAGATGGAGGTCTGTGGTCTAATTTGTGTCAGTTTAGGGTCCTTGATGTGAAAAAGTTTAAGACTAGAGCATCAAATGTGGATTGATCCGCCGCTAATCTAGTTTATCTGAACCAGTGAAGGTGATTGTTATTACCCAAACATTTACCTTGAAAACATGGGCTGTAAAAAAACACCCACTGACATTTCCTTTCAATTATTTCCCAGTTGACTTTCTAAGATTAAATAAAAAATGAATTGTTTATATTTGTGTACTACAGTGAAGTATGAAATCACTGTACATCATTTTTATCACCTTATAGCTGTCTTGGTGGTTAACCTGGTAAAGTGCGTACCATTTAGGCCCAGTCCTTTGCTGTGTGTCATCCCCTCTCTCCCCACAGGCGGCGGCTGTGGGTGGATCTCTCTGTTTCCAACAGCACAGGAAGCAGTGAAGTTTGCTATTATAAAAAAAAAAAAAGGATTCCAGTCACTGGGTGGAAAAAGTGTATTAGTGTGAACCCTTCCTGCCTTTCACTAGTTTCCTTCGTTCCCACACCTCTTTCATATACTCACCCTCTCTCTCTGAGAGCCTATACACAGCTGTGTTGTCCATACACAGAAATAATCCTGACATCAGAGCACAGGAAGATATGACCTAAACTGTCACCTCTGATATTCCTGTCCACACTTCCTGACAGTACAGTCGAGGCTTGTCACAGACTTATCAGCTCATTATTTATGGAGAAGTAAGATATGTGATGTGGCATTGATGAACTTTTCATGTAATTTCTTGCACCTTTTTTTACATTCATGATATTTTACCTTCAGGAAGATCATGACAAAGAACTGGTGGAGGTGTGCAAACGGTTCATGGTGAATGTGCAAGATGGAAACTGCACCCTGATCTGGTGGCAGCAGAACGACAAAGTACACATTTACTCTGTGGAGATAAATGGCAAAAGTAAAGCGCCCGCCTCCCTTTATTAAAATCTTATTCATCAGTTTAGACAAATTTCTAAAAACTGCTGCAAACAAATCATTTCAAATTTCTCTTACAGTGAAAAACAACCTTGCAACCCAGTATTATGAAGAAATCTCCAAGGTAAGAGCTCATGGATATTAGAGCCTCAAATTCCTGTGAACTTTAAAAGGTGCAGCAGGACACTAAAGAGCACTATAGTATGAAAGTGACAGTGTGAACTCTTTTGTTGTGTTTTCCACTAGAAGAAAGCAACAGATAATAAAACCCTGATCGCCATCCTGGCCTCCTGTGGAGCTCTGCTCATCATGATCGTCATCCTTGCCGTCTGTGCCTCCCACCACCGTAAGCCGTACCACGAGAACCAGGTCGGTGCTCAGACACAAAGTGTTCTACCAGGGCTGGAGTCAGAGTGTTTGCAGGTCTTTTTCTTTTTGGCCTGTGGAGATGAAGTGTTTTCTGTACCATCCAGGGGTTGGTTCATATTCATGGTGTAGCTCCATGGATGGCTGCGTTGGTCAGTCAGCTGATCCACCACTTTGGACCAGACTGAAATGTCTCAACAGGTTCCCTACGAGATAAATCTTTATGCCAGTCACCGTCAGGTCAAGATTTGAATTTTGTCCAATACTTTGGTTTATGAGCAAATATCTAATTAGAAAATATTAAAGGAGCTATTTGTAAGTTTTGCTATTGCTACATAGCTAACGTTAGCATTAACAGCTGTTAACTACTTACCAGTCTTGCCAAGAGCTTCAGCCATTGTTGTGTTTACAATACAAGAGGTTATTATATGTCCTCTGAGCAGCACTACTTCTTCAGGGCAGATTGGAGGCTACAGTGACTCAGTACTGGAAAGTGATGGGAAGGGCTGGAGCTAGCTGGTTAGCATGCTAACTTCAGTAGAAGAAAAGACGTGACAGACAATAGAAGCAAAACAAAAGGTTTGTTTTCCACCTCAGGAGACAGCTGTTGGTGAGTAAAGGAATGAAGTTTGATGCTGAACTCACAACGTTTCTTCTAGACTGGTAAGTAAACAGCTGGTTATGCTAACGTTAGCTATGTAGCAATAGCAAAACTTACCAATAGCTCCTTTAAAAAATAGCATGCTGGCATGCTAAACTAAGATGGTGAACATGTTGAACCTGCTAAACATCAGCATGTCAAATATCATGCTAAAGGACCAAAAAACAAACTTCTGACCTGAACATGTAGTTTTCTATACAATGAGCCTCGGAGCTGTTACAGAAAGTTACACTTTACTAATTCTTACCTGCTGGAATCACATGTGTCATTTGAACTATGAACTTTATAAAAGTTGAACAGTAGAAACTGATGATGAGAATCAGTCAAGTTTGACTGAAATATAAAGAGATACATATTGCATATCATTTTCACAGTTCATGAAATTAAAACAGTTTCAAAGGTTTCAAAGTTTCAAAACAGATTAAAATAGGATTTAAAGTGTGAAACTAAAGGGTGAAATTCTGCAGTAATTTTTTTTCATAATGTTTGTATGTGGAGATTAAACATATGACTTTAAAACATTAACCACACCCTCACCTTCAGAGAGTGGTGCGTTTAAAGAAGCATTGAAATGGAGAACAGTGAATCTTTAATCGTGACCTCATCTTACACAAGCAAACAAAAATGCTCTCAAAACTGATATGACCTTGGTTTGCAGTTTAGAATAATGTCCCATCTCTCCCTCCATATCCTGTTACATCACATTACGGCATTTAATCTTCAACCAATCACATTCACCAGTTCAGTTATTTTGTCTTTTAGATAAAACCACAACATTAGAAATATCAGCATATCTCTTTTTAAAATCATGTTGGAGGTACAGATTAAATATGACTACACAGTTTTTCTAAGTTTGTCCTCTGAATCTCTACAGCAACACCTCACAGAGGAGCTGCACACGGTGGAGAATGGCTACCATGACAACCCCACTCTGGAGGTGATGGAGGTGCAGCCGGAGATGCAAGAGAAGAAAATGGCGCTGAATGGAGAGTTCAACGACAGCTGGATAGTTCCCATTGACAACCTGCTGAAGGAAGACATACCTGATGAGGAGGACACTCACCTGTAGACAGAACCAGGGACAAAGGAAAAGAAGAACAAGAAGAAGGAGGAGACAGCGACAGGACCTGGCAAGTTCAAGCCCAAACAAACAAAAGAATCCACACTTCTTGCTCCATGCCACACACCTGACCCTGGGATCATGTCCCTGTAGACTTTCTTACATAGAAATGCATCCTGTAGAGCAACTAAGCCACCACTTTAATGCTGTTGACCTGCTCTGTTTGATGCATTTCTGCTGCATCTTGGCATGAAACAGAAATAAAGATCAAAAGTCAATCACTGTGAGGATGAAGAACCAATAAAATCAGACACAGTGGCCTTGAAAATGTAATGTTTGAAATCCACAAAGTGTATAGGCTCAATAGGCAACAGTGTCTGTACAGTAGACTAGTTCCCTGTTTTACACTTTTACTGTTTTACTGTTTTATTTGAAGTGTTGATCCATATATTTGTGGTTTTAAGAACCAAAAACCATCTCAATATAGTTTTGCATCTGCTCTCTCAGGCTTCACTCTGGAGCTTTGGTAACAACAGGTCGGTGAGCCAATCAGAAGAGAGGAGGCTCTGAGCCTCTCTTCTGATTGGCTCTGTGGACTGAGCGCTTTGATACTTACTCAGTATTAATATAGAACCTAGACCTGCTTTATAATCAAACAACACATGGACATCTACCTTTATACTATATGGACCTTTAATATAAGTGTGACTTCCTTCAGAGCACAATTCAAAGATGTTAGTAGAATGTAATTCACAGTTGTTATTGTAAAAAGTCAAAAGAGTCCCAGACCCCAAGAGGATTGTGCCTTCTCTTTTGCAGATTTAAACCCAAGCTCCTGTATGTACAGTATTTTTATATAAGCTTCTGCATATGTGGAGGAGCCACACTTTGTGTTATCATTTGGCTCCGGGGAGGAAGAACAACATCCACACTAACTAATTTAGGTAGATGACCTCAGGATACCTGAAAGAATCCTGGTGATTTTCCACCAGTGTGTGTGGACTACGATGAAACTACCAGTGGCTGTAGGAGCTGCACTGGTACAACTGAGCACTAACCTCATTCATCAAACATGCAACTTGCCCATAAAGACACTGGGTGTATAGACATAAGACAAATATAGGGCTTTAATCCAGATGGCCACATATTGACTTTAGGCTGTACGGAAGTCCAAAAGGGACATTTCACAAACATATTTTGTCTTGATCTGAGGCTGTTTTCATTACAAAATGATAACACAACAATCAATCAGCTTCCATCTCATCATTTGAAAAAACAAGTCTTTAGTAGAGATGAAACAAGTAGTCGATTAATCAATCAACAGGAAATTAATTGCAAACATGATAATCAATTAATTGTTTAAATCATTTTTTAAGCAGAAAGTCACAGACTCCAGCTTCAAATGTGAATAACTGCTGGTTTTCTTGGTCATTTATTATATTAAACCACATATGTTTGGCTGCAAGACATTTGAGTACTGAGAATACCTCATTATGATCAGAACAATTCACTGAGAAAATAATTGACAGCAATCAAAAATGAAACTTTACTTTTGTCCTCTCTGGTCTTCGACAGTGGAGGAACTCTCCCAGTATTTGTTTATAAAAAAAAATAAACTGATCAGATGTTTTGTGAAGCTTTACTTTCTTTAATCAAAAAATAATATCACATTATTTAAATGCCTTACTTTGAAAATTAAAGATAATTCCAGTTTACTACATTCTGGGTTTTTTCTGTCATTTATTATGAACTTTATTCAAAAAATTGTTTTCTCTTGATAATATCTCATTATCTTGGGATAACGAGCTTTGTTATCTTGAGATAACAGGATAAAAAAATATTTGCGAGTATGGCTTCCACACAAAAAAACACCACCTCCTCAGTAACAAGATTAAAACTGGACTGAAGCTGATTTTGGCCGATTCAGACACTGACTCTGATGAAAATGCTGTAAATAGTGTGTAAATGTTTTTTTCACTGTTGCTGATGCTGGAAGGGTTGGGTTATCCGACACTGGAAGATGCCTTAAAATAAAACCCTCACCTGAGCACTTTTTTTAAACTTTTATTTTGAATTATGTTTTGTTCAGTTTAATAATGTAACTTCCCTTTAAACCAAGTAAGTTTATATATATTTACTTCCACTTCTAACTATATACAAGTGGGTCCATCACCTGGAGCACTCCAATCCAACTGTTTTCGTTGTGCGTGTGTTTTTTTTGTGTCTACACTTTCACTTTTATTGTAGTTGTGCCATTTTCACCAAAGTACATGTAAGTACAAGTATTTGATGTATTTATGGTTTGTTTTCTGCTGAAGGCAAACAGCAGGGGTCTGACACACTGGAAGCTGTAAACTGTTGATCGTTGTGGCGATTATATTCAGATTTGCAAATAAAGGAATTGTTTTTCCACGTTGGTTGTGCAGTTTTCTGTCAGTGACACCCAGACAAAGCCACTAGGGGGCAGAAACACCACTGAGGCAGCAGTTAAGAAAACCTGAACAAAATACAGTCTTTATTCATTATATACATTACGTACAATGCAATACTACAAGGCTTTCTACACATTCACTGTATCCACAGAGTAGTGCTTACTGATCTGAGAGTACCAGCCATACAACTCCTGAGTCCCACCCAGGGGCTGGGAGGAGGGTAAGATGGAAAAACAAAACATACAAAATGATAATCCATACAGAAAACTTTGTTATGTAAAATGAGCCTTACCCTAAAATAGCAAAAAGAATAGTATTTGGCATTGTGTCTTTTACAAAGGTGCTTTCAATTAGTCTTTTTAAACAGTTTTTTCCTCTGGCACAAAACAAATAAACGCTACAGCGAGCGTGACGAGCCCTACATGTCCTCCAAACACCTTCATAACTTTTACTTTCTATAATTGGACCATCCTTAGTTGTCTTTTTAATATCACATCTGTTTCCATTTTAGTTGGTGTAAGGGCAGAAAAATCATAGGTAAAACACACATGAACAGACGTATAACACACACACCATCCTCCTCCAACAAAACACTGGTAAATTATTACAGGTTATATTTTTCTGCCACTGATGAATTCAGGGAATTAAAGGCTGTTTGTCCGTCACTCCCTTCAGATGCTAAACTGTCTGGGAACAAACAAACAAACAAACATTAAATAAATTAAAAAAAAAAAAAAAAAAAACCCTGAAGCTCAGTGTAAAGTGATGGAAACTACTCATCTCCAGTGTCAACACAGTGACAGTGATGATGGGTCCAGCAGAGCACCCGCAGTCACAGTAAACATCATTTTATACAATGGTACTTTATACAATGGTTCACTTCATGTAAGGTTGTTTTTTTTGTTGAAGGATAAATATTCCACATCAAGTGCAGTGAATGTGAGGCATTTGTGGGAAATAAGTCTGACACTTTAAGGACCAAACCACTGATTTTTGTTCCTCCCGTTTCAAATCTTCCAAATCTTTAAAGGAATAGACATATTTGCAGAGTTAAATGAGAGGATTGATAGCACTCTATGCTAAATATGAAACTACAGCGTGTAGGTAGTTAGCTTAGCATAAATAACAGAGGGAAACGGCTAGCCTGGCTATGTCTAGAGTTAATCCATATCCACCTACCAGCATCTGTAAAACTCACTGCTTAACATGTCGTATCTTCTCAGTTTTACATGAGGTTTTTGCACAGATTAAACAACTTGTGGTTTTACAGGTGTACATGTTGACCAGGCCCAGTGACTCCTCCTTCTGCAGCCAGCGTGTGTTAGTTAGTGAGATTTAAAGGTGCTTCCAGTCTTCATGCTAAGCTAGGCTAACTAGCTGCTGGATCTAACTTCATATTCATCATTCAGGCATCAGAGTGGTGGCAATCTTTTCAGCAAAAAAGCAAAAGTACTGAACTACTCCAGCACTAGCACCAGCCACTGTCCAAAGTCTCAATTGGTTTCAGTTCACTTCAGCACCCACATAACATATTTTGACTAATGCACACTGTAATGATGTAACTCATCTCATGTTTTGATTTCATTCAAGTGACATCACTGCAAAACAGCACACACAGTGAAAACCCACAGTCAGTGGTAAAAACTGAAAGAGGTAAACATGAATTCATAAACAAACTGCTGACTGTGATTCACTCAGTAGTTTGGCTGCAGCAGCCTCACTCGGTCTGGTCTGACCAGCAGCTCATGTCAGCCTCTGTTAGTTCTGCAAATGTTGCTGCTTTAAAACAGACATGATGAATCTTTGCTTCCAGTTCTAATGTTACGTTGTTTTTTTTCACCGAGCCTCAGTTCTTGCCTTTCATGTATCATTACATCAAAATCACTGAGATCAGTGTTTCACTATTTTAAAAATAAATCAGACAGACAATCTTTGCTGTTGTTGACCATCTAATGTAGATAAAGACACGAGCTGGAGCAGAAGAATATTTCATTGCTTGATTTAAACCACATTGCAATGATCAAAATGTGTGTTTTTGTGTTATTTTTATATTTGTGCACATATTCATAGACTTAGTGTGTTTATATTTTTTTGTGTTGTTGTTTCTGCCTGTCTGCTTCAGGAAATGGAGTCACAACTTTAAAAATAAGTCAAAATAGACGTAAGCCTCGTTTAACAACCTTCTGTGGTTTTCAAAGATCACTGGGGATTTATCTTTCAGGGAACCAACATGAACACGAGACACACACTGGTGACAGTGGCTGTTGTTTTAGTACTTGATGGGCTTAAACCAGCATCGTCCTTTCATTTCAAAATAAGTGCATTAGGTGTCTATTAAAAAGGTATTTATAAGTTACTATTTCACGTTTGATCTTAAAATCTCTGAGACCCTTGAGTCAAAATAAAGTTGAGTGTTAAAGATGATATTCTTAATTGCTGTTATATTTTTTACTCAGTTCTGTCCCGGAGTTAAAGTTCATCCGTCCTCAGGGTTTCAGGACAGAAACTGATCCTGTACGTTACACTCAGATTATCAACAGCCATAGCAAGAGTGTCAGGGACGAACGGTCGCAGTGTTGTGATGCATCAGGGATGTTAGAGATCGATCTGTTAGCGTCTGACTGACGCTCATGGAAGACAGCTAAAGAACTGAACGGTAGGACTTTGATTTAGTGGTAGCAGGTAAACAGGTAAACATCTCCACTTCAACTAAAACACATACACCAGATCTGCCATTAATGTGACAGGTTTTCTCTCCTAAAGCTGAAGCTGACCTTTGACCTGTTGATTGGAAGACATTACTTCTGTCTGACATTAACTCACCTGCCGGCTGGTAAACTCAATCTCGACCTTTCTACCATCTTTTCATTCATACACAGGAAACTCAACTCTCATCTAGACAGCATTCATCTGCTGCATCCCCCTTCCTCATTTACCACAGACAGAACGACAAATGAGCAGCTTGGGATCAATCAAATATCATGGTATAATCAGAAATACTAATTAAGCCTTTGAATAATGAGCAGAAACCCTCCCATCTCTGCACAGAGGAGCAAAGCAATGATCCACTAACACGGACAGAGCTCAGTCTGCTTCTGTGTCTGCTCTACTTGTACTGAAGGAGTCCAACAACAGCAACCAGCTCTCTGTCTGTAAA